TGTGTGTGTGTGTGTGTATGTGTTTGTGGGGGGGACAAAGAGGAGATACATAAAAGAAGGAAATACACTTCAATAAAAGCTAACAACTATGCAAAAATATTCTAAGAGTAATAATTAGAGAAATGAATATTAAAGTACACATTCATCCTTGCATTAACAGATTTTTAGAAGATTAATGTAAGCTCATTAGAAGATTAATGTAAGATGTCTATTTGGAGATTTGGAGACAGAATTCTTAGAACTGGAAGTCATTTAAATCATTTTAAGTTTTCTGGATAACAATATGATTCAAGAAGAAAAAAAAATTCATGTCCTTCAACCAATTATTTCCACCTTTAGAAATCTCTTTGAAAGGATTAAGTAGAAAAGCAGGCAGAGATTTATTCATGACTCTTTCACTGCAGTATTGTCCACAAGCGGGAAAAATTCTCTAAATTTCTAACAATGAAGAAATGGTTATGTAAATTACAGTGAAGCATATTATGGAATATTGTTCAGGCATAAAAATGTTTTTGAACAGTATTTGATAACATAGTCAAAAGCATTCAATGTGCTCTCAATTATGTAAGAAAAAAACATGAAGCATGCATAGAAAATATACAAAATATTCCATAACGTTATTGGAATTTATCGCTCAAAGGTGGGATAGTAATGAATTTTGTTTTGTTTTCTTCTGTTTTCCAACTTATCTACACTAGGCATATTGTTAATTTATTCTTACAGAAAATATTGAATCATACTTTAAAAGAATTTAGGTAACCCTCCCATAATGCTGTACAGTTTCTTTGTATTGCTTATTTAATCAGAGGAGTCCTCTGGGGTCATATCCACAACCTCAGTGATCATGAACAGGAGACATATTGCTGAAGCAGCGCCCAATCTCCACCTGGTGTTCACCTCCTCCTTTTGGGGGGAGGTACAAGGGATCGAACTCAGGTCCTTGCGCTTTCAAGGCAAGTGGCAGAACCACTGAGCTAAATCCCCAGCCCTCGCCTGCTCTTTTGCCCTCTTCCCTGTGGCCTTGGAGTTGCTGTGGCTGTGATAGATGCTGCCTGGCTCAAGCTCCCCTGGCTGCTCTCCAGGACACTGATCTTTATTTGCAGGGTTCTGTTGAAGTTCCATACTGTGGATGCATTTGACAAAAGCAAAAAGTGAACATGGCTACAAACACACACCTCACTGACAGTCCTTTTTGTTCTCAAAACCACTATTAGGTCACTTGCTAACTACCTAGAAGTTATAATTCACAGCTTCCCATGGGGAAGGAATGTGCAAAAAAAATGTACTTCTAGCACCGAGGAGCAGAGCTGCCCCCAGCACCCAGGAGATGAAACTTCCCAGCTGCCTTACCACTGACCCAGCGCTGCAGAGGTGAGCTGCACAGGTGCCAGGAGCACACAATCCCCCTCTGCTGAAATGAGAAGACATGTAAGGAAGTCTCAAAACCAGACTTCCAGATCACCTAAAGCAACCCCAAAGGAAAACGAGATGAAACAATCTGATACTCAACCACCTGGACTCCCTGAACTGGCAACAAAAGAG